CACATCAGTGTATTTATGGAGAAAATACAGTGTCATTTGACAATATATATTAGTCTGACAGTTTCTCACTTTGTCTTGCTTGTGTATGTCTGCATGCAGAGGACGGCGCACAGTGAGGAAGACTCTTTTAGAGGAGGTGCAGGAACTGGAAGCTCGGGCTGTGGACCCTGGGGCAGCCGTCCTCAGAGATGCCAGCGGCCGCAGGTATGTCCCTGAATATGCCTTGATGTATACCCGCCTATCTGTAAACTCCCCTGTAATACCTCAGGTTGATTTACAAGTTGTTTTAATATAGATTCAGGCAAATGCATAATTTCTTTTGGTTGTGTTTCTTAACATATTAGCTCCGTTTCAAAACTTAGTGAGCTGACTTGCTGCCTACATAGGCAGTTGCCTAATTTAGCAGAATACTAACTGTAATGAGAGTGACTGAACACAGGCAGCAACCTCATACAAACAGCAAAGTACATATGCTAGAGAAAATGACACAATACTTGAAGAGTAAATATAAATTGTATCATAGCACACACAAAAATAAGTATAGTAGACAATTAAAAAAAATTAAATTTCTCTTGCTTTGTCCAGCATTTTTTTTTTACTTAAATATAAATATTTTTAATAACTGATTAATAATAATTATAATAATGTATTATTATTATTACTAATAATGTATATATAATTGATCATTATTGACTTATAAATTTTTTTACATTTATATTTAGAAATTTATGAAAATTAATTTAATATGCGATTTTATAGTAATTTAGATTAATTTACAATTACATTTTGTTGAAAATTATTTTTAAATACCCAAATTTTGAAAAACAAAATTCATCTGCTTTGCTTGTTGCAGTACTTTGTTGCTTTCTCCGTAAAGAGAAAACATGCAATGATACACTACAATTTGTCCAAAAGAAGGTATCTTTTTGAAACAGCTTTTATTGTCTGACCTGTGATGCCTTAAAATACCTTCAGAAGAAGCTCACTAGGTTTTGGAGCTGATTGATTGTGTTCATGATTTATGTATGTCCTAATGTTGTTTGTGAATTAGTTTGTGGATGCGTGTCTGTGAAAGAGACTGCATTTGTGTTCATTGTGATCCACTAACCCCTGCCTGAACACTCACAGGCCCAATGCTGAGGATTCATAGACTCATTGAGTCAAAGGCAGGCATGTGCAGGTAGAAACAGCTGCCTGAATCTCTCTGTAGGATGTGCAGTGACCTGTTTCCTCCTTCCCTCAACCTTCCTTTGTTCTCCATCATCATCATCTTACGACTTTTCTTTTACTTTTCTCTTTCCATTTCACGTTCTGCGATGTCAGGCGGCCATGAGTTGGTCAGGTTTGCCTAGCTATAAGCACTGGGTGTGTGTGGCTTCCTTAAGATCGTAGCTCTTTGCATGTGTTTGTTTTCATACTGTGTGTTTGTGGGTTTGAGGATGACTGCGTGGAGTGATTGCATGGATTTAACAGTTTAGCCCAGAGATATTACTCTACATATTGCATTTGGTGTACAGCCCTATATGAGACAGGAACTTGGCAGACAGACGTGTAGTCTCATGCAGTTTTTTTGTAATACCTTGGAGTGTTTCGTGGTCTTTAGGCCACTAATTTATGGCCAGGGAGTTGACAGAATGGACTTCTAATCAGAGGGATGTTGGCCGTAAGCCCTGTTTGGGCTTACCCCCTCATTCCCCCAGAGCAGAACACTTAACCTCATTTGTTTCAGTAAATATCCAGCTGTAAAAAGCATAATGGTTGTAAGTCATCCTGAATGAGTGTAGAAATCTGCTGAATGATTAAACGTCAGTTTGAATTCGGCATCATTGGACAGAGGCTGACACAAGAGCATATCATAGGCGTTTACATTTGCAGTTTTGTTTACCCAAAAAGACCCCAACTAGCCCTGCCGGACAAAAGCAAAGTATTTTTCAAACTCTAAGCCAAGTCTGGACTCATACGTGAGAGACGGTTTGAGGAAAATAAGTTATTGAAAATTTGATTAATCAAAACAGATGTCTGATATTCGAAGGATTGTCCACGTTCCAGAGAAACGACAGAGGAAGAAAGAGCTCCGGTTACCAGCAAGCCTATGCGTCATTCCATCCTTTTATTTCTTTATTTATCCATTCATCAACCCCATCTTTCAACCGGTCATCTGTTTTGCAGACATAGTTTTCGTTGGCTGATGTTCTGCCATATCTCATATACTGTTGCTGATTTTTTTTAAAGCGCAGCCAAATGAATGCCACGTCCTTCCCAATGATAACAGTGCAAACAGTCCCCTTCGTAGCACAATACGAGTTTGAGCTGTAACCTTGAGAAGTTTGGCCTTCCTCCATAACTGGTTTTCGGATCACTCTTTCTTTTATGGATTAGGGGAAAGATGGCTTTCATCTGATTTACAGGGAAACATCATAGACTGATTGTTCTACATGGAATGTGTTTATCAAAGATGGGGTCAGGCTCCCTTGATTCCTCTTCATTTCGAAACTGGCTGCAAAATGGCATCAGACTCAGTTTCCAGAATTGAAATTTTGCCATTTAATTTAGTAACCTGAGACTCCTTTATTGGCTGCATTAATTTAAGAATAAAGAGCTTTTGAATACTTCTCATATTGATCGATTTTGTTTGAAGGATTGGATAGCTCGAGAATTTAGTGCTGTGGAAATATTCGAGGAGATGTTTTTGGAACGCAGGGCTGAGTTTAAAGTTGTTTAGGAGTGCTTTGGGAAGCCATTTCTTAGAATTGGGAGAGTATGTGGGTGTAAATGTGTGTTCTGCTCGAGTGAATATCATTAAGAGTATGTGTCGTTCGCCAGGATGGCCACGCGACTGAGTATAGGACTGTGTTATTGAAATGCATGTGATTTGACCTCTAGCTGTCAAGTGTGTAGCATACTGTATAAGCCAGTAAGGCCCTGATCAGATATAATGTGTTTCTCAGGTTTGAAAATGCGAGGCGCACCGCACTGCCTTTTTTTTTTTTTTTGGTTGCCTTTTTTAAATTTAGAAAACAGAAGTGTGCTGCGGTTTTTGTATGTTGCTAGGCAACCACCGAATCAGCTGTCCTGTCAGCTTAATCAAGGATTATAGCACGAGTGCTCTGGTTTGCAGTTAAGTAAACCGTCATATTAGCAGAAACTTAAAAAAAAAAAATACAGCTCCGGGTAACCCTCGACAGCCACCACAAGTTCCTCCTCCATCATTGCAGTCTCCAGACGTTCCAAGCAACTGTAAACGTGTGTCGCCACTAGGGAGGGGCGGATCGATCCTTAAGTATCGATACTTTCGATATTGATAATGTATCGAAAGGATCGATCCTCACATAAAAATATCGATTCTAAAGTGCATTTTTTTAAACATTAATTTTATTTACTTATCAAGAAATTCGGTGCATAAAATAAGCTTCTAAGTTGAAAAATAGACTGCAAATGCTGAAAGACAGAACCAATCAATCACAGACAGCATTCGCTGCTGACGCATGGCTCAGAGTGCTTGTTCAAATAGGGCTGCGTTTCCCAAAAGCATCAGAAGCGTAAGTAGATCTTAAGAAACCATTGCCACATTATTACATTTTTACTATATATAAAATTAATTCTGAAAAATGCATCACGGTTTCCACACAAATATGAAGGAGCAATAATAATAAATGTTTCTTGAGCAGCAAATATTAGAATTATTTCTGAAGGACCATGTGACACTGAAGACTGGAGTAATGATGCTGAAAATTCAGCTTTGATTACAGATACATTTTAAATTACATTTTAAAATATATTAAAATAGTTATTTTTAATTGTTATATATCTCAATATTGCTGCTTTTACTGTTTTGTTTTTGTTTTGTTTGTTCCCAAAGTGCAGCCTTGGTGAGCATGAGACTTAAAAAAATATGACAAAATATTACTGACCCCAAACTTTTGTGTTCATGCAATATTTATTTTAAATTGGCTAGTTTGTGCAAGTAAACTTAATTAAATTGGTTGTTAAAAGTTCAAATGGATTATGTTCTTTAATTGCCGTTAATCTGCCAGAAAAAAAAAATGCTAAAGTTTCACCTTTAGGGGTACAACAGCCTGGCAGCCTTTTACAAAACTTAACCATGGTTTTATTACAGTAACCACAGTTTACCACAGTATTTGTAGTAAAACTGCAGTAACCACAAATTTACCATGATAATAATAATAATAATACTACTACATTTTAGTACGGAAGTTCTAAGCGGCCATGCATTATTTTTTTTCCCCCTTCTTGTTTTCTCATTATAACGACTTATTTTCTCGTTATATCGACATAACGAGAGTTGTTTTCTCGTTATAACGACTTCATTTTCTCGTTATATCGACATAACGAGAGTTGTTTTCTCGTTATAACGACTTCATTTTCTCGTTATATCGACATAACGAGAGTTGTTTTCTCGTTATAACGACTTCATTTTCTCGTTATATCGACATAACGAGAGTTGTTTTCTCGTTATAACGACTTAATTTTCTCGTTATATCGTGTGTTTTTGTTAAGTCCTAGCGTCTGCGTCTCCAGTGATCGGAGTTTGGCGTCTGCGATAGGGAATAGGGAAAATACGCGAATGATGTCGGGTGCTTTTCAGCTCAGAGTTGATTTTTTTTTTTCAACTTCAGGTGTTCAGAGTGCTCCTACAAAAACACGAGGCGCAGCAGGCAGCTAAAATGCGTGGCGCCCGGGGTGCATAAACAGCGTGCAAAACGCTCACTGCCAAAAGAAAACAATTAAAGAAATTATTAGAAATTATTAAAGGTGCTTCTCACTGCAAAAAACGCGTTCAGTCTGATCGGGGCCTAACTGTGCTGTGATTGGTGGCTTAACCCATCTGTCTCTGTCTATCCAGTCTGAACGAGCGTGCCCACCTGCTGACACGGGTCTTCAGGAAAACGCCTTCCAGCGTGGGACGCTCAAACTCTGTGCAGCAGACTGTGTCACGTAAGTGCATGTTCCTCTTGTGCCTTTTTTTTTTTACACTTCACACACACTGAGATCTGCAGAACCTGTATGTCTGCAACTGCAACAGAGCTGACAGCTTCATGAGTTTCTTGTCCGAACTAATGAAAAAAAACTAATGTCACTTTGATTAATCAGATAAAACAGCCAAGTTTTATTTTCTTTAAATAAGTTTTAGGTTTGAAATCCTTGTATGGGATAAAAACACATTTTTATGTTTTTAACTGTCTCTTATGCTCATCAAGACAAGGTAATATTGTCAAATATAATTACAATTTTAAATCTTTTTTTAATTTTAATATACTTTAAAGGATAATTTCTTCTTGTAATATCAAATCTTTATATATAAGTAATGCCAAGTTATGCTGTTTTTTTTATTTCTTGTGGAAACCATGATATATTTTTCTTCAGGATTCTTTAATAAATGTGAGGTTCAAAGGCATTCATTTTAAATTGAATTTTTTTGTAACATAATAAATGTATTTACTATGACTTTTAATGTGTAGTGTAAATATATGATTATATATACTGTATATATTTATATATATAATGTTTTATTTTGGTTTCTTTGTTTAATGGGTTTCGTTTAAATTTGTGTTTTAGCTGACGATAAACCAGAGTCATTCATAAATAAAACAGATCGGATTTCTGTACTAATAAACTGTGATAAAATGTGTTTTGAATACACAATAACACAATAACTAATGAAACCGCATCATAAACTGAATATTGCTTGTTCCACAGCTTTTTTACCAAATTATTATTTTTTTCTTTACAATGAACAGATTTATGCTGACTCAAAGCAATTCTTTAAATAAAATCAAGTAGTTAATAATGAACTATCTCCTGATGTTCCCCCCAGGTGAGATATATACATAGAGACAGAGTGTGGCAATATATATATATATATATATATATATATATATATATATATGTGCATGAATTTAAACTATACTATACATTTAAACACATAAAATGTTTGAAATATAAATGCTATATTATAAATTATGTTAAAGCTGCAACATTGTGGCTTCCTTTTTTCAGACCCACTTGAATTATTTCCATGATCAGTGTTATCTATTCGCCACTGCCGCCCTAATATGAAGAATCAATCAAATATTGTGAGAAAAATAATTGTTGTATATTGGCAACACAGCTGTACAGTGAGTGCTTTGATTGCCACACATGCAAATATCCTTATAGTAAAGGCTAACAATTGTTTTCTCTCTCTCCCAATAGATGGATATGCGTTCTCACAGGAGGAGCATGGTGTGGTGTCTCAGTCCCAGGTTGTTCGCTCCTACGACACCACCCGTCAGCGGCCCAGTCTGTAGCTGTAGCTACAGCTGGTAGAGACTTTAATGACAACTGTGCTGGGTGATCCTGCTGTGGCCTTTAAGCTGAACTAAACTGAACTGGGCACAGCTAGCGCAACATTCGGCCGAGCTACATAACACACTGCCTCCCGATGAGGGAGTGGATTTATAGGAAACAGAGGGTTGGGTTGGGCGGGCATATTCTCACACCGAAACGGCCAGTCGAAATGCACTAGACATGAATGGACAGGCGAAAAGAGCCAAGTAGCATCCAGAAACGGAAGCCAGAGACAATGGTGTCTGTGTCACAATCACGAGTCACAAGATTGCTGCATTTGGTTCTATATCGTGCGGGTGCGTGTTTGCATCTGCACTTTCATGTTATGTGAGCGTATATATATCAAGAAGGATGTGCATATAGCTTGTCTGTTGCACTCGCTCTTATCCGTCATGTGTGTGTGTGTGTCGGTTGTGGGGCGGCTTTTTGCGCTTCTCAATGTGTCTGCATGTGTGTGTTTTTGTTAAGTCCTAGCGTCTGCGTCTCCAGTGATCAGAGTTTGGCGTATCTGTCATCACCACTGCGAAGCAGTAGGGGAGGCCACTCTAAACAAACACAAAACAGCCACCCACATGCATACACTCTGTTTGGAGGAATGCCCTTTGCAGACCTGAGATGGGGGAGGTGTGGTTTACAGATGCCGCAGACACACGCATGCACCCACACGCATGCACTGTTCCCATCCAGCGAGGCTGCCAAAACACACAGCGATTCCTCTGAGGCGGAACCCCCACCCTGCAGCATGGAGCTTCCCAGCTTACCACACACACACAAATGCACCTTCTCTCGTTCTCTGTCTCATCTAATCTACTACTTAATGGCGGCCTCTGTATCTTAGAACTCATGTTCTCTCCGTCTGCGCCTCTATTTTATTCTCTCTCTTTTTCCAGATCAGCAATCTCAATGTCTCCTTGTTCTCTTGGTCTAGTTATCCTTTCATTCCCTCTGTTCTAGTCAGTGGCTGCTGTGGATCACAGCTGTAGCTTTTGCTTTGTCCGCTTTCACTCAACCTGTCAGATTTCTGGACTGATTTGTCAAATAAACTGTACTTGTGACTCTCTGTCATTCTCTCTTTAAGCCTGGTTTTTGCCATGTTATTGTTGTCCTCTAATGTGAGTAAGTTAATATTATTATTTTTCAGTTTAAATTAGTTGATTCACACCTTTCAGTTGACTTTCTTCTGTGGAACAAAAAAGGAGACATTAATAATGTTCATGCCTCTCTTTTTTGTGCAATGAAAGCATATGGTGAGCAGGAGCTGTCATATATTTACCTTCACGTCGGAGGATTCACCGAGCCTCCGACTTCGCAGGGGCCAGAGGTGTTGTACCTTGTTTCCCTCCTTCTGGAAACAGTAGTTATATGCATAACTCAATGTTCCCATTCAGTCGGTTCACTTGGTACAACACATGACTATGGGACATATATTCACACCATGCAAAGTCGCTGAACTAAACATCAAGGGACCAGCACCGCCAACAGTGTTGCCAGACATACGATAATTATCTTATATGTACGATAATTTTGACCTCTACGATGTACGATCAATAATGAAAAAATCCCATAATGTAGGATAATTTCATAATTTTATGACAATTCAAATGATGGTAGTTGTAGTCATAGGGCTTCTATATTCATACATGAAATCGGCTCATTACAGACACTAAATGAGCTCATGCACACCTCAGAGTGTGTTAAGAATGCATGAGGGTGCCCTGCTTTAAAGCCAAAGAGCACTGTTGCGGTCCGTGACGGCAAGAACCCCCTCAACATCTGGCAACACGCAGGCTTCCGATGACAGCAGCTCAGATGTGGTTAACAGCTAAATTCTGTCTACACTGGACGCGACAAAGCGAGAGTTAAAAATCATTTTAATACGTCATAAATAGAACGAGGCATCAGTTTACTTTGTCACACTGCTCGCGTCCAATATAAACACGGTACACCTAGTTATCTATTGTGGTAATTTGCAGGTCATGTCAAAAAGTTGTTGGTTTAGATAAATAGCTGTATTCTGTACGTTTGACTCATGTATGATAATTTTCTTCCAAATACGATAATTTTGAGCTTCTGGTACGATACTTGGACATTTCCAATCTGGCAACACTGACTGCCACATACACCTTTCTTTTCAAGGAAGTGATGGCCTCCAATTAAAAAAAACCCAGCGGTAAGCACGGACCGTTGCTGCAGTGACGTCTAGTCAAAAATTTAACAGACTTGTGAAGTGATGCCCAACTGGCAACTGCACAAAAATCATAAAGCATGCCCATGACGTTTCCACGCCCCTCATAGAGCACCCAAGTACCCATGTGGGTATTAGTCATTAACGGGCATATGCAGACATAGCTATCTACAATCCAATGCGAAAGATGCCATTAAAATAGTGGCTTCACATGGGGCCGAGTTGGTAAAAATGACAAAAAGCTTGGTCACAGCCTGCTCAATGCACCTGCATGAAATCTCCTGTCTTCCTCTGAGTCAGAGATTTGACAGGGTGGGCAATTTGAACAAGAGCACAAGGTATCCACCGACAGTGCATAAAGATCACATGCACTTCTCTGATGCCAGTACCAACCACACGGTAGCATCCTTAGACTCAAGGATTCTAAAGGCTTAAAAAATTAAGAATACCCAAGCATTTAAGGAACCGAAAGGCAAGTAGGTGCGGGCTTTGGCGCAGCACTATCAATGCCCTCATGACAAGCTGAAACGGCCATACAATAAACTTCCAGTGTGGAATGGGAGTGACATTCCTTTGGAAAGTCAGTATCCCTACAATCATTTATACGGATCTTCGCCTGCACTAAGTTTCAAATACGCTCTACTTCAACGCAATGCTCTTCAAAATGCAAGCATTCTTGTCAGATCAATCAGATTCCCCCTCTCAACAGGCAGGCACTAGAAACCACAGTTCCAGCCAAGGGTGCAGAATCTGCCTCCTTCCTGGGACAGCAGGTCCCTGCATAGGGAAAAGACACCAGGGTGTCCTTAACAACAATGTCATGATGCTCACGTACCATGCCTTTGCTGGCCAAGAAGCCACCAAAATCAGTGACAGACTCTTGCCGCCGCACCCTGTCCAGGGTGAGCTGTATCAGTTCCCTTGGCAGGAATGTGTACAGCAGAGTCCTGGGCTATACATGCGACAGGGTATGCATTTCAAACATTGCTTGTTCCATGCTGTCTGCAGCCAGGAGCAGGTCCCCAAATAGGCAAACAATCCTATGCTCAGATGGCACAGCAGTGCCACACCGCTTCTGCACATCCTGGAGATATGTGTGACGCTAGGGACCAAAAGTGTATAGGTAACCTGCTCGACGGAGACCTCAGAAATTTTCTCTGCCCCGGGTGGCCATATGCATCCGGCAAATCCACCAACGTAAGCCAATCCTGTGGATTGCAGAGAGCATGACAGGTGACATATTGTAAGCATTTTGAATGTGTAATACTTTAAGTGTTTGTTCAACATTCATGAATCTAAGCTAGGGCAGAAAACCCCCCATTTCTTTAGTGAGGAGGAAGTAACGGCTTAAAAACCCTCTTCCTCCATCTTCCCTTGTAATACCACCTAAATTGCCACCTTGCTGAGGAGAACAAGGAATTCCTCCCTCAGCACTGGGGAAGCCTTCTTGGACAACAAAATTGCAATTACTGCACCGAACCGGGTGGTGCACGAAGGAAAGCGCAGCTGATAGCCCCACTGGAATCGTGCGAAGAACCCACAGTGTTAGTGCGCGTGCGCGCCACCGCTCCAGGCTGACAGGGAGGATCCCCGGCATCACCGTGGGGAACTCCTGTGTCCTTTTGCAATCATTGCTGGATATTGCACATCACTGCATTTACCTCCTCTGTCGGCACATGGCCCGATTGTGAGGTAAATAGTTCCAATGTATTGTGATTGTTGACAAATTAACAGATGAGACTTTGTATGATGAACGCACACTTTCTTTAATTTACAACATTAAAACCGAACCCACTATCTTGCAGGGTCCTTTTTACACAATCTGGATATATTGGCAGGCAGGTTCTTGCCAGTTTCTACAGGAGTCAAACAGAACCCACAAGCTACTCTGTATCAGAGGAGGGTCAAGCCACTCCACTGACAAACTTTGTTGCCATTCTTCAAAACAGACCCATGCTAGGGCCCTACATCACTTGACTTCCATCCACCATCTCGAAGAGTGGGGAGGGGAGCCGCGATCTGTCCTGCTTGGAAAATATAATCAGAGCATTCCTTGTCCGCATCCAGTGAGAAAGTTAAAGTGCTGCTCAGACTTAGGGGCAGCCAGAGGAACCTTGTAAACAAACTTTCCTCTGCCTCCACACGATCGTCCTAACTATCTGTGGCATCCCCAACAACGGTGAGAGCCGCATCAGGATAAGTCCCAGAAGACTGGAGTGGACTGTGTCTGGCCACTGCCCCACCAAGCACATGCTACACACTGCGTGAGTGTGGAACGATAGAGCTGCTTGGCTAGAGAGAGCCAACCTAGCATGGACAACTCCCAAACACTCCGGACAGTGCTTGTGACCATAAACACCCAGATGCCATAGGACAGGGGTGAGACATTTAACATGAAAAAGTGTATCCATTTGTTAGCTGTGCTAAACTCAAGCTAAAAACTTCTCTTTTATGCCTTTTTCTTCAACAAGTGTCACTACCGTGGGTTGAATGTGGCATGATGGTGTTCTAACAGCGTGGTGAAGAGCTGAAGAACAAAGGGAATGTCATTGGCCTTTCAGGCGTGAATAAAGGTGTCTTCAGCAAATGGCACAAGAGCGCGATATCCCATAGTCATGTGTTGTACCCCTATGGTTGTGCCGAGTGAACTGACTGAATGGGAACTGCACGATTCACTGACTGATGACTCTGTTAACTCACCAGGGAAAGAACCTGTTCATATGAGTCAATTGTTTGCGATTTGGAGAATGCAAGGCTTGCACTTCCACAGCTTCTCTTATATGTGACAAAAAAGACATTTCTCTTGACTAGATTTTAACTCATTGCTTCAGATTCATACTGGTGAGTAAATGGTGTCAGAATTTAATTCATTCTATTCGAATTTACACCATACATTCATCAGGTTTTTAAGGGATTACCAAACTTTGAATAGCAGCCTACGTGAGAAAGTGTCAAAGGGCTCACACAGGCTCAGCAAGAAAGATCGTCTAAAATTACTGAGCTAAAAGATGAACTTTGTGTGATTTGGTTCACTTATATGCAGTCTTAAAAAGTGAAAGCCAACATTCACCAGCGGGCTTATAAGTGGAGTTTGATTTGTGCTTTCTCCGGCCGGGTTTGTTTGAAGTGCACTTCAGAGAGTCAGAGTTACAGGTTAGGAAATGAGCTGAGGTGGAGTGTTATCTTTAGATTAAAGACAGGAAAGAACGGAGAGGACTAACACATTTACAGCATGTGTAGATCTTACCTTATTTAAACCCCAAATCATTCAGTTTGCCAAAGAGCACATTGTACATCAGTGCACAAGTGTGTATGTGAAAGAAAATCTGTGAAGGGTGAACTACACAGATGTGCTCAAATAGATATGTTCTGAATGAACTATAGGAATGGCAAATGGATATTTAAAATAATCCCATACATGTTAATTTAAGAAAATGTAACTGTAAGGGTGTGTGTGACCTTGTAAACTCCATCAGTCCCGTGATCCCTCATTGCTAAGAAGTCCACACCCACGCCTCTGAATATGAGCCAGCTCTGTCCAGCTCCATTGCCTCCAATATGGGGAATCCATTCCTGTTCCACCTCAGCAAGCACCACGTGGATCCATTTCAACTCTGTCCAAAGACTCCCCAAACGTTAGTCTGACCCTAAAGTTTCCATATATACATGCCAAGAACACAGGCAGACTTGACTAAATGCAATTATTGTGGGTTTTGTTTGTATATTGTTGCAGCTATTGTCTGGATGGAAAGTGTGACTAGTGACGTGTGCTGTTAAATGTGTTTAAAGACTCTTGTTTGAAGAGTTTTTATTCTAGCAAGTTAAACTAAAAGCTATTTGTGTTTTAGGACGTTCAAATAATATTTATATAGATATAGCTTTAAATTGTCATCCTGTCTCATATGCACATGTGCAAAACAAATATTACTAACTGAACACAACTGTCCTGTGGCCTTAAATGTTCGCATACAGAAAATTAAATGACGAAAGACACTTGTTAAGTTTTCATAATGCACAATGACATACGGTCAGTTCTGAGGTTTGAGTTTTGTTCGAGGTGATTAAATCAAGTGTTTTAATAATCATAAGTGGAAGTATATTTATAATAAAATGTCACGTAATACTTGGTGCAGTATGTGTAATTTTAAAGGGGTGGTTCATTGCAATTTCACTTTTTTAACGTTAGTGTCTAATGTTGCTGTTTGAACATAAACAATATCTGCAAAGTTGCAGCGCTGAAAGTTCAATGCAAATGGAGATATCGTCTTTTAAAATTCTGGCAGTTTAATGACTACAAAAACGGCTGGTAGGGACTACAAGAAGATACTTCCTGGGTTCGTGACATCACAAACCCAGATAAACCCCACCCTCGGGAAAAGGCAGCAAAGGGGGCGAGGCCATGATGCGCTGCTTTAGAGAAGTGAAAACTAGAGGTGCACGTAAAAATCTATTCATATATGAATCACGATTCTGTCTTCTAAGGATTCTAATGGATTCACAAGTTTCAAAATCAATGTTCAAAAGCAACGGTTCTTAATACTGTTCCTCGCGTTCCCCTGCTCTGCATCTCTCTCTCTCTCTCTCTCATTCAGCTCAGCTATAACAATAAACTGTTACAATTATACACTTATTTTCACATAGCTATAACAAGCGTTAAACATGGACACGCGTGCAGTTGCCGTACTGTATTAAAGCTTTAATCAGGATAAAACCGTATATTAAAAGCCAACATAAGCAGTAGCATTTACAAATAACAGCGTATCTAAAAGTATGAGACAAAAAAAAACAAAAAAACAGGCCTACCATTAAAAGCCGTGCTTGCACAGGTTCTGCACGATCCTCTTCAATAAAATCCTTATGCTTCTCAATCGGGCTCAAACTGATAAGCGATATTAACGACGCCGTTGTTAACAATACGGAGCACATGCCGCCGAGGTGAGGGGCGGGACATTTGGACGCGCACTAGAGGCATTCCCTTTGTTAGCCAATCACAACACACTGGGCTAGCTAACCAATCAGAGCCCATCGCCTATTTCTGAGGGGGGGGCTTCATAAAAGAAAGAAATGATCAGTGCGTTTTTCAGAGAAGGGACAGAGCGGTATGGAATAAGGTAAATTATGTGAAAAATAATGCATTTAAAAAAAAAAAATGAAGCATTAACACATGTTAGACTACATCCCATAAACACAATCAATTCTAGAAAAAAAACTGTGAACCACCCCTTTAACAATAACAATTTCCACAAAATTGATGATTTCCTTCACTGTGGAACATGTTATGTTCAGCCTGTTAACATTTCTCTATTACACTTGTTAACAGGCTGTAAATGTCTTTTGAACTGGCAGCACTTCATCTGTCAACAACTTGAAGAATATTACAATTTTTATTCATCTAAATTATGTTGACAGGCACTGTAACTTACTGTCACTCATCATTATCAGCATCCCCCTCAGAGAGACCAGCAAAATTAATTTTATCTTTTAGAGTAATTTGACTGTAAGTCTGTGATTTAAAAAAAAAAATTAATGTTTTGGAAGGAAATTTATACTTTTATTCAGCAAGGATTCATTATTGATCAAGTGACAGTAAAGACATTTCTAATGTTACAAAAGACATATTTTGACAGTTATTTCAATCTTCTGTTCATCAAAAAATCATAAAAATATGTATCACAGTTTCCACAAAAATGTTATGCAGCACAACTGTTTTTGACTTTTCTTGGGCATTAAATCAGTATAATTAGAATGATTTCTGAAGGATCATGTGACACTGAAGACTGTAGTGGTGATGCTGAAAATTCAGCTTTGCTATCACTGGATTAAATTACATAATAAAATAATTAATTATAAAAAAATTGTGACAATACTTCACAATATCACAGTTTTTTTTTTTGGGGATCACATAAATGCAGCCTCTGTGAGCATATAAGTGACTTCGTCAACAGTCCAATTCAGCATGGGTTCCAGTATCTACTATATTTAATAGAAATATGAACATGAGCATAGATTTTTATGACTAAATGTCTTTCTGTAAGTGCAAACACTTAGCATGGAAACTATGCAAAGATTTATGCATGCAGCCCTTGGTCTCAGTTTCGTCATGAGTGTTGAGAGTGATGAAAGTCTGAGCACTTAAAGGCTATGTGTAACAGGAGCACTCGGGTTTATTTTAGCCATTAGCTGCATGTCTTCATTTGAGAGCGCCACACATACCGCTGACAGCAGTACTCAGCATCTCTTACAAACAACCCAGTGACACTTCACAGTCTCTAAAAATATTTATTATAATTAATATGTTTCATATGCAAAAGACACATAGCACCCTACTCTCAGAGAGAGGCACATTCAAACTCAAATATTCATTCAGTTTCACAAACAAGCATATCGTACACAAAAATAGATCTGATGTGCATGTGAAATTGCCCACAGAAACAGCTAAAACAGACATGCTCCCTGTCAGGACAGACTTTGCTACTTTTCCTATAGGGGTAGAAACCATCCTACCTTAAACTTTAAAGGGATAGTTTACAAAGAAAATGAAAATTCTGTCAACATTTACTCTCAGTGGAACACAAAAGACGATATTCTAAAAAACTGTTTTTGTCCATACAATGAAAGTCAGTGGGGTCCAAAACAACAACACTATTATAACTTATTTTATTATTATTAGTAGTATTATATTTTTAGGATTATATGATATACTATTATATTATTTATTCATATTTTGAATTGTTTTATTTTTAAATGTTGCTTTAATTTTAGTTTAGGTTTTATTGTGTTATGTGCTTTTGCCATGTTTTACGTATTTTAATATTTTTATTTTGCTTAAATTAATTTTTTATTCAGTTTTTGTTTAACTTTAGTATACTTCATCTTAAATTTTAGTTATTTGCCAAGGCAACATTTTTTATTTTTGTTAGAATTTTTTTTCCATCTAATATATAATTTTATTTTAACTAAGCAGTTTTGCTATGTGCTTTTGCCATTTTTATTAGCTTAAGTTAAAAATGTCTATTTAGCTTTTTTCATTTTTAGTTGAAGTAACTTTAGTTGAAGTAAGTTAGTTGCCAAGACAACATTTCTTATTTTTATTTACAATTTTTAAGTTCACGTTTTTAATCTAATATATAATTTTTGTTAAATTTTATCATTTTTGTTTTCATTTTTATTAGTTTTTATTTAAATATATATATATATTTTTTTTCCATTTTAGTTTTAACATTTAAATGTTTTCATGTAATATGTATATTTTATTTCAGCTGTATTTCAGTTAATAAAAATTATTTTTAATAGTTTAGTTTTAGTTAACAATAACAACACTGACTTGCATTGGATGAAATTATCCTTTTTTTGTGTTCCGCAGAAGAAAGAAAGTCATAAAGGTTAGAAACAACATTTTGGAGAGAACTACCTTTTTATCTTCCAACTCTAAAAGCCAAATAACTCAGACTGGTGTTTTTAAATCAGGCCGTGTTTAATTTCATTGTGATTTTTCTGCCAGTCTGAGATCTAATACAGGAGTTTTAGAAGTTCAGAAAGGTGATGGCCTTCTCCTGGAGGAGCCTGGGACTTTTCTTTTCTCACTAAACTGCCGCCTTTGAGCGTGCTGAAAGAAACCCACTCCAAATGAAATGCCCTGGAACCCTTTTGGTACTCCTTGAGTTTACCTTATGCTAACAGAGGGGAAGAAAAGTGGCACACATACACAGTCCTTTCACAAGGCAGAGACTTAGTGAAGGGGAACAGTTGGCAGACAGTTTTTACTGCGTAATTGACTATGTTGCTTTCTGAAGACCGCTGATCTGAGCTACACACATCTTTGCACATTGCTTTCCCAAACACAGGCCTATATATTTTTTTATTTTCTATTCAGTTCCTTGGCAATGCGAAAATGACTTTGGTTCTGCAGAATGTGAGTGTGTATATGCGAAAGTGTTAGTGTGTGTGTGTCTACTGTATGTGCATGTTTTGCAGTGGGCAGGAGGGTGGAGCGTCACAGTCTGTGTCCTGTGTTCACTTCACTAGATTTTAAGCATCCAACAGGGAGCCAGGACTGTTTTTCACATTACAGCACCTGTGATTCCCATTACACACAACATATAGTGCACTACACACACACATTTTCACATACTGCATCTCATAAACCAACACACCTATACAGTCACGCACAGAGCACACATGCACGGTTATACAACTCAAATATACATCACATATGTACACACACGCGCTTCATTTACAACGGCACTGTTAGCACTTTTCAAGGCACGTTACACACACACACATCCAGTCATTTTTTAAGCGCTGTGTCCTTTAAATCACAGAAAACAATGTTGTGTTTGATAAAGCACGGCAATGCGAAAATGACTTTGGTTCTGCAGAATGTGAGTGTGTATATGCGAAAGTGTTAGTGTGTGTGTGTCTACTGTATGTGCATGTTTTGCAGTGGGCAGGAGGGTGGAGCGTCACAGTCTGTGTCCTGTGTTCACTTCACTAGATTTTAAGCATCCAACAGGGAGCCAGGACTGTTTTTCACATTACAGCACCTGTGATTCCCATTACACACAACATATAGTGCACTACACACACACATTTTCACATACTGCATCTCATAAACCAACACACCTATACAGTCACGCACAGAGCACACATGCACGGTTATACAACTCAAATATACATCACATATGTACACACACGCGCTTCATTTACAACGGCACTGTTAGCACTTTTCAAGGCACGTTACACACACACATCCAGTCATTTTTTAAGCGCTGTGTCCTTTAAATCACATAAAACAATGTTGTGTTTGATAAAGCACCAGTTGGAGTCTCATTTGTGAAGGTTGCAAGCCATGACTCTCAATTTTGTGCCCTGAACTGATTCTTTGTGTGTTCGTCTTGTGATTTCAATTCAGACTTGCATCCTGGTCCCATTTGCATTCACATGGTAACTGGAGGGTATTTCTGATCCCCCGTCACACTGGCCACACTAGCCACGCTGGTTGGCGGAGGGAACGGAGACTGCAATGGGCGGTAGCCCGCTTGAGCGGGATCTAGGAAGACAGGAGCCGGAGTAATAGGGTGAGCGAAACTGATGTACTGAGGATGTAGGAATTGGCCTTGGTGAGGAAGAATTTGAGTGGCTTGCTGGCAGTTAAGCACTGAGAAGTTGGTAGGCATGTTCACGTAGACGCTGGCGTCCGGCGGAAGGCAGCACGAGGCCTGGGCGCGGAGCAGATGGGCGGGTGCGGGACGGGAAGCGGCGGGTGGAGCTGAAGAACTGGAGGAAGTGGCCGTGCTCGATTGGCGGGAGGACGAGCCTCGTGAAGTACCTGTGCTGGCCATCATGGGAATCGTCTCGAGGACGCGGGTGCTGCTGGACCCTCCTCCTGAGCCGCCGCCTGATGAAGGCTCCTGTTTGGGACGGAGACAGCGGCAACAGCACACGGCAACAACGGAGCCCACCAGCACGAATGCAACGAAGACCGAGCCGACGATCAGGAAGGGCACGTAGATGGGTACTGCAGAGCAAAAACAGGAAAATTATGACAAACTCATGCAAAAGATATATGAATTTAAGGTAAAGTAAAACTTGTACTTAATTTACTTAAATGATAAATTTTATATTTAAATTTTTTGGAAAAGTGTGGTGAGTATGAGCCATATAAATGTCACTCGGTTTTTTGGATGGACTAAATTATGTTGATTATAGCTCCAACATGTTACCCAACACAAAGTTTCTCAGATTCAACAACTTTTTATTTTGTTTGTAAAATATTTGAGTAGTGTTGTAATTTTTTTTTACTTTATTTATACAGTACGTTGTGATTTTAACCCGTCAGTAAACAGACCGATGTAATGGCCCATTAACACCAAGAACGATAACTGTACTAAATTAGCATCCACACCAGCGTATGATAATTTTCTGTTTATTATAAGCACGTGCTGCAGTTTTGACGTCTGCCGCTTTAAATGTTTGAGCTCTTTACAGTCGGGTGGATTCCGACTGGCTTACAATGTTTTGATCTTTCATCTGGAAAGTT